GGCCGTCGCCGCGGCAGCGAGAGCAGCGTGCGCGAGGAGGAGATCATCGAGGAGCGCTACTCCAAGAGCGGCAGCCGCGGCGCCTCGGCCTCGGCGCACTCTCGCCGCGATCGCCACGGCGGCTGGTTCGGCGGCAGCAGGGCCGGAGCGTCGACGGTCGTGGCCGCGGATCGCCGCCGGGAGAGGGAGAAGCGCAAGAGCAGCGGCGGGTGCTGGACGTGGCTTGGGATCGGAGCCGTTGCCGCCACCCTCTTCACGCTGCTTAACCTCAAGAAGGACAAGCGGCCCAACTCCCGCAAGGCGCCCTCGCGGTACAGCGAATCTTACTACAGCTATTCTGACTATACTAGCAACAGTATGTTTTCTACCTGCCTTTTATCCTCTCATTTCTCAATGCAACGTCAGTCTGACTAACTTTTCTTTGCAGCCGCCAGCTCCAGCTCCGGTCAGAGATCGCGCAGCCGCCGCAGCAGATCCAGCCGTGGTGGCCGATCAGGCCGATCCCCCCGATCAGCGCAGTACTCTCGGGCTCCCAAGAGGCCGTAGACGAGTCGCTCACCTTGCATGGCGACACCATCTCGCGGGCGGTATCAGGACGATTTTTTCCATGTCAACATATTCATAGGGGCACCCATTGCGTATTTTCATGCGCGGGACTGACACCCTCTCCCCAATTTACGCCATTAATTGTTGTTCCCAATTTTTCTTTTTGCCATGGAAGCTTTCCTTTACACTACAATGGTTACATATGGCGTCGGCGGTGCGGAAGGGGGGTTTTCATCTCCCCTTTTCCTTTTCAATTTTTTTTTCTCCTTTCCTTTTCTCTCCTTTAGTATCTTATGAGTTTGGTTTTTCGGTTTTTCACGTGCCATATGTTTTGAAACGAAGGGATGAAGGATATGAGGGGGGAAAGCAAAGACAAAGAATAAAAAAAAGGACCAAATGCACAAAGAGTGACGATGACGAGGCACGAAAAGTACATACTACGAGAGACCAAGACGAAATGAAAAATGACATTTACCCTAAATCATCGATTGGTTGTGCGACTGTGACTGTGAAGGTGAATGAGCTAAAACAGGTAATCATGGCCATTCGCTGATTCAGATTACATATGTGACAAAGATTGAGGCAGAGATTGGCTCGGGTGAAGAAAATTTAATGTTGAAGTGTTGATGGACATGGCGCATTGAGATGAGAATGAGGTGTGAGGGATGGAGTTCTTCGGTACTCAGTCACGCTGATCTGACTACCCTGTGCAGATATTTAGAAGAATTAGCCGAATGGATCAGAAGTGCCAACTTGCAGAAATTATTTGGCAAACCTAATCAGAAAGGAGCAAAGTGATACATGTAGAATTTGTAAACTGATGAAGAGCGAAGTGAGTGGTGGGTATCCTCGAATGATCCAGTTTTATGTTGACTGAGTTTGCGTTGAGATTTGGCATAAATGAACATATCCAGTCTTTTGGGTCTCGATAGACCCATGATGAGTTGATATGAGAAATGGAACATGAAAGCAGGACGTTCTTCCACGGCAGCTGGCTTTGAGCTGATTTGACTACCCTATCTATGAAAACATGGCTAAGATGTAGTCAACGCCGTTCGACAAGACTTTTCCACCTTGTCCTCGACTGAATATAAGACATGAAAATCGTGAGTTGCCCATTCTCAACAGCCAAGACCAATCCCTCATTTCCAAGCCTAGAGTGCGATTCATCATAGATATGAGCTACAGCAAGTAGACAGGAGGGAAGAAATGTTGAGTGGCCATCGCTGTTCACTTTACTTTTAATATATTTTTGTTTTAAAAGAGTAGCCCCGTTGCTACGTGACATGCAATGATGAACCTTCGCCACTCCGGAGTCCCAGAAACGCAAAAGAAACAGAGATCCTTGTCCGGTACATTTAAGCGTCCTCCACAACGTTGCCCTTCTCAGAAACGTACAGACCGTCCAAGAACTGGAGATGGAAGTTAGCACACACAAGTCCACGTTGCTGTAATCTTGGGGGGTTGTAATTTGCTTCGAAGGAGTTGCTTGCATAATGGAGCGTCCAGCACCACTGCAAGCGTCTCCCACATTGCAAAACTTTTGCTTGTAGTTTCCAAAACAAAAGAAAAAACGCACCTTTCGGATATCCTTGTTGCGCACCCGGCAGATCTGCTGGATATCTGCGGCGCTCTGGGAGACATTCTCGAGTGAGTTGCCAGTGAGGATGAGCTCATCCTTCTGGGACTTGGAGATCTCGACGTCGACACCCTCGTGCATGGTTACCCGTCGGACAATCTTCTCGCCGATGAAGTTTCGGATCTCGACCTCGTACAGACCAGTCTCCTTGTTCTTGTCCAGGTTGACGTTGATGGGGAAATGGGCGTAGACGTATCGCATCTTGTACTTGAAGCCCTTGGTGACACCGATAATCAGGTTCTCGATGATGGAGCGGACGGTACGCAGGGTGGCGACATTCTTGCGGTTGCCGTGGTGGATCTCGATCGAGATGGTGTTCTTCTTGGGGTGGCCGAAGTTGACAGCCAGGTGGCCGAGGTTCTTGGAGAGCTTGCCTGTAGTCCGCCCATGTCAGAATGCCGGTTTCCTTTAAGCCTCGAATCGAATCTGCTGTGCCACAAGATTCGCATCTTTGGCGAGCAATTGGCGGGTAGTGAATGGGTGGTGGTGTTTCGTACCTCGGGGACCCTCAACGGTGACGATTCGGGTCTTGATGTTGACCTTGACTGTTGGCAGGAAAAAAAAAAAAAGTATGTCAGCTTCCAGGTCTTTGAAGGTATCAAATGCGCATAATCCAATCCAGCAAGCAGAGTTTCCGTCGCAAAGTGTCGTAATTGTTCGATCCAGTTCCCTCGTCTCCAGCAGCAGACGTGAAATTCCTCCTCTTCCTTTGCCTTCCCGTCGCTTATCCCAAGCAACACTTCTTCCTCCAAGCGCAATCGGTCGACTCTGCAAGCTCGAGAAAAGTCGTAAAAAAGGAATCTGATTGAAACGTACCGCCCTCTGGGATCTCCAGAGTCTCCTGA